TAAGTGAATCAATCAATGGCAGTTGTTTGGATTTCAATATAAATGGATCTTGGACCTGAGATATTGCCAGATGGGCAGACAGGTTACAGTCTGGTGATGCATCTCCAGGGCTATAAAAATGTAGCCATTTCTGGAGTCGCACGCTGACATTTCAGAAGATGATTATATGCACAATTTAACCACACGGCCACTTGTGCCCTCCAAGTGCCATCGCTTCAACAACTGTTTTCATGTTGGCTTTCTTGCTGCTCATTCCTTTTTTTTTTTTTTTTTTTAGTCAAGCACAGTTTTTTTTTTTCCCAGCTTCTCTTATTTCCAGCTGAATGTGATTTATTCATATGAAATTATGCTCCATTTTTATAAAACCCAAGTTACTGCAAATGATGCTTGAGGTTTCACAGAAAATATTAATTCCTGATCTGCTGCTATAAAGCATCCCTGCTCGTTCTGCAGCAGCCCTGTCGCTCTGAGACAGATGGAAGCAGTCCAAGGGTATGATTAACTTCTTAGCCCTGGCAATTTCCTAGTGCTCCTCTTGCCCTAGATTTCAAGATTGACCTCCAGCTTCTCTGCAAATGCACAGTTGCTCAGCTTGATAAATCACACGAATCCCGTTTTTGATCACAGTTATCTACTATTTACTACTTATGAAGGGAAGTTAATCATATTCCAAGGCACTTCATATGCGGCACACATACCCTTCCTTCTCTGAACAGCACTTTGCATATTTTCCACATTACTGGCGATGTGGCAGCTTTCACAGTGCGGCGAGTCGACACCAAAGACACACCTTTATAAATGAGCCTCGTGCCCATTTATCCTGATTCTCCTCTGCCTCTCTCTACCCTATCCAGTACAATAATCCATAAGGAGAAAAAAAACAGTTGGGAGGCACATCATAAGGAGTGAATAAGTAAGAAGGAGAGTGTCCCTTTATAGATTGAAGTTTTCTTGTAAGTGGCTTGTTTTACCTTGTTGAGGATTTTGCCACCTCTTCCTGCCTTGGTCTCTTGGTTTTTTCATGATTTGGGGAATCGGTAAGCCTCTGGTAGGCCAGATGACTTTCAAAGGCATAAAACGGATGCAAAGTTCCACAGTCAGCAGTAGGAAAGAACAAAAAGACGTGCCATTCTACCCTCACACAACCCTTCCTGTCACTGCAGGGTGGCACAAGTTAGCTGGGCTGAGGCCCAAATTTGCCTTGCCAGTGTGAGCCAGTCTTGATGCTCTGGCTATTTGGGATGAACTATAAATTAAACCCATTGTTCAAGCAAGACCAAACAAGGCCACCTCTCTGGAGGTGACCACAGAAGATTTTTAAATTTAGAGAATGGAAATACTATAGTTTTAATTTATTGAGGTTGTGTACTGATTACTTAGGACTCACTGAACTTGAAAGCACAGCCTTAAGTGTCAGATATTGGATTTCTGCTAGAATGCCTATTTAAACCAGGAAACTGGAGAAATGAAAAGATAGACAAGATTGGCCTTCAGAAGACATCTGGATACTGTCATCTCAGACACCCCACAGGGACAAAGTTTCTGCTTGCCATTAGAAGGAAGGAAAGGGAAATGTCAACCCTTTCCCTTATAACTAGTCTCATCAGGTCAGGTCTCAAAAGGCCTGGATGCAGGTTTTCTCCTGGGGAAGCAGAGAACAGCCGTTGGCTTCCTTCATTATACACTCACATCCTCCAATGACCCCACGTCAAGTAAACCCCTAGGTCATCATCAAGTGTATATCTTGAAACAAAATGGCTCTACTCCTGGATCAGACGTCCTGTGTTCGCCAGGTACTCAAGGTGGTTGTAAGGCTAAATGGAAGAGAAAGGGGCCACATATGAACTAACTATCGGGACATGAGACAAGAAGTCTGTGGTGGCACAGCCCAAGCCAACATGGGCTTTTTTATCCAACTGCAGAATTACAGAACACAGGAAGCACCTTGTGGGGTCTCACAAGTGTTGTCATTTTCTAGGACAAAAATGAAAGTGCTTGTTCATCGTTATGGAGTTTTATTTATTTATTTTTTAAAGTTTATTTATTTATTTTGAGAGAGAGAGAACAGGGGAGGGGCCGAGACAGAGGGACAGAGAATCCCAAGCAGCTTCTGTGCTATTAGTGCAGAGCCTAACATGGGGCTTGATATTATCATCCTGAGATCATGACCTGAACCAAAATCAAGAGTTGGATGCTTGGGGCACCTGGGTGACTCAGTCAGTTCAGTGTCCAACTTTGGATCAGGTCATGATCTTGTGTTCCTGGGTTCAAGCCCTGCGTTGGGCTCTGTGCTGATACCTCAGAGCCTGGAGCCTGCTTCTGATTCTCTCTCTCTCTCTCTCTCTCTCTCTCTCTGCCCCTCCTATGCTCATGCTCTGTCTCTCAAAAAATAAAACAAAACATTTAAAAAAAAAAGAGTCAGATGCTTAACTGAGCCACCCAGGTACCCCATCGCTATGGAATTTTATATCAAGAAGTGACAACAGGCTGGAAAAAAATTGTTTAGTAAAACAGATGAGTTTTTGTAAATAGATTAATACCAGGCTCTAAGTAGTCAGGGATATTGGGGTTAGATCTCCATCTTGGGAAGGTCATGACTTGGGGGGAATCTTTACTCAATTCTATTCCTACCCTGAGGTGGATCCTCTGACAAACAGAATATTAGGCAAGACACGCAGGAGTATGTCCCAGAATCATATTCATTATTTTCTAGAAAATACTGGTTTATTCAACAGAATAAGTAATGTGCTAGAAAATGACATATTACCTGGTAAGTTAACATTCCCTAATTTAAGAAAATAGAAAATATAAATCCAATTAACTCAGTAGGTATTTTAAGTTCTTATTTTAAAAAGGATTTAAAATTGTATCTCTAAATGATTACACATACCTTTCACATCTATTACTCGTGTGGCCCCAAATTAGTGGAAAACATAGAATAGAGAAAGCACAGAGAAGGTAGCTTTACACGATTGCATTGTTAGAATGGCAAAGTCAACTCATTACTTTAAAATGAGCCGAATTCCCCCAATTTTGAACAGAAAAAAACGTTAGATTTAAGGGGGTAATGCTCTATTATATTTAAAGATGGAAAATTCAAAAGAAGAGAAATTATAATGGGAACCTGTTTCTCTGTTTCCAGGGAATGGGCTTTTTTTTTTTTTTTTCCTCACAGTATTCTGATCTTACCGGTTACAGAATCAACAGAGGCTAAGATGCTAACTTACCGGTTGACTAACTATTGGGTTTGATGAGGGGTTTTAGAATATCAGAAGAAAGTCAAGGGGGAATAGTGTTGCTATCATTAAAATCCATGTACATTTTCTATCCAAGACAGAGTCACGTATCTTTTGGGAAGCAGTCTTAGAATGTATCAATTCTAGTTTCTGATGACTTGTCTTTGTATTTGCAGCCATGTCTTCAAAGGAATTCAATTATTTTCCTAAAATAGGTTTTGATTCATTCTACCAAAGTTCATAGTGATGTTTTGTGCCTATATATGTAGCTTTATTGAAATACAGTTTATATACCATAATGTGCATGCATTTAAAAAAACACAGTTTGATGGTTTTCAGTATAGTTACAAGGTTGTGAAACCATCACCATAATCTAATTTTATAACATTGTCAGTACACCCCCAAAAAAATCTAACCATGGCAATAACATTATCTTGTAATCTGAGGGCTTTTGCTTGCTTATCAGTGCATTTTGTTGAAGGAAGCTCTTACTTAATAAGTCAAAGAGGAAAAAAAGAAGTATGTAGAGGAAAGGAATTAATGTGTCAGATTTTAAATGTTTTGATCCAGAGTCTTGTACCAATAGACTCCGAAGCAGTACAGTTTATCAGCTTTTGTGAAAATCCCAGGAGCAATTGTAGACAATCCTGTGGCAGCCACTCTTACAGCACACAGGCTTGTGTGGTTGTCATGGGGAAGGCTTTTCAAATGAAATAAAAATACTCACGCTCAGCCTGCCACCATAGAGGAAATGCTTTTCACCCATGTGCACAGATAATTTGCCTCAGTGACAGGTTTTACCTTGGAGAAGCAGTGAACTGAGCTAGTTGACACAGTCAATTATTATTCATTCCACACACACACACAAAGAAAAAAAAAGAAAAAGAAAAAGAAAGAAAGAAAAAAAAGAACTGAGAAGGAAGGGGAAGGTGGTGACTGTTAGCTAGCTAATGCTAAGGTGCCCACCAGCCAGCCAGGGTAACATCTCCTGCAGCTGGCTCTAATACTGTAAAAGCCTGACTTGTGGAGAGAAACTGGGGCTTCATCTTCGCCTCCTGACAGTTCTTTAAGAGACACACACACACACACCGCAACCTCAGTAAATGAAAGCTTAAAAACCAATCAAAACAAAAAGGGCATGGTCCATCCCTGAAAGTAACTTTATATATCCCTGTTCAGCTATCTGTATAAAGCCTTTCTGGCAGAGCACGATGTGAAATACAGCTTAAGTGTGTTTACTGATTAGATTTATATATCTCACGCAATAACACAAGTCCAAAAACACAAGCCAAAGTGAGGAGGGAAAAGTCAGGCTCTCAGGACCATGAACTGGGTTATGTGCACAAAATATTTCATGAGAGGATTTCATCAAAAGACAGACAGCTCTTGTGAAATGATATGGAAAAAGTCTGAAGAAAACATCTCAAAACGAATGAAGTACTTATTGCTGAAAAATGAGCTTAGATTGCAACCAATTCCAAAGTTCAGAATTTACTGCACCATTCAGATCTTTCCCTCTAAGTTTCTTGTCTCCTGTTTCATTGCACAACAAGGGATTCTTCATACTTTCTATGAAATACAACAAGGCGATTTTTGCAGTAATAAACTCCACACATGCATGACAAATTCAAGCATGCAAAATGTTTAACATCCCAGTTCACAGACACTTTAGGGACAAAATCCGATTATGAATTATATGCCACAATAAATAGGGCTCAATGTTTCATAAAGCAATTTATAGTTCATAAAAATGACAAAATGTACCTGTCAGACAGAGCGTGGAGAGCAGTTCTCTGGGCTGCCTGCTGGAAGGAAGGGCAGAGATGTTTATTTAATATTCTGACTTTAAATTATGTACTCAATCAACACTTTTAAAAAACCTGTGTCACACACGTTTTTGCCATGTGGCCAGCTATTAAACTACTAGCAACATAGTAGAGACCCGTCATGTTATGAAATGGACGCTACTCAGTTAACTGAAACCCACAGCGCACACCTGCCACCAGAGGGCGCGAACGGGGAGGCACGGAGTTCTAGGTGAGGTTAGACTAGTCTCTAGAGACCCTGAGAGGCTCAGACCTATTTCATTTTTACACTCTGAAATCACCTTTACCATTGCTTTATTCTACTTTCCTGTAAGAAAAAAATATGTTTTGTTTCCTGTAGCTTCTTCCTCAATGAAAGTGTAGTTAAAATAATTTTTTTATTTATTTTTGAGAGAGAGAGAGAGAGAGAGAGAGAGAGCGAGAGAGAGCACACTCGCGCACATGAGTGGGAGAGGTGCAGAGAGAAAGAAGTACAGGATCCAAGGCGGGCTCTGCACTGACAGCAGACAGCCCAACGTGGGGCTCAAACCCACGAACTGTGAGATCAACACCTGAGCTGAGTTTGGAACACTTAACCAACTGTGCCACCCAGGTGCCCCGAAAGTATAATTTTTTACTCAGTTTTTAGATTTATTGAAAAAGTCAGTACAATTGGAAATTGGAACACTGGTTGGAAGAGTCAGAGTATTAGGAGATTACTGATTTGTTTTAGGCATAGTAATGATATTGTGGTGATTTTTAAAAGTGTCTTTTAGAGATCCATTTTGAAATATGGATACAATTATATATTGTTGGGATTTGTTTTAAAACAGTACAGTTGGAAGGAAGGGAGAATGGATGGACATTTATAAATGAGACATGATGGCCTTGGGTTGGTAACTGTGGAAGCTAGGTGATGAGCACACTGGGGGATTAGTATATTATTCTGTACATCTTTGTATGTTTTTGAAACTTTCCATAATACAAAAACTAAGAGAAAAAGGCTGCCATTTATCCATCAGATTCTCTCATGTTTGTAATCACTTTCTTTTCGTCTGGCTATTCTAAATTTTTGTACATTGGCTTTCTATCACTTAATACTCTGAGGCTTCAGAAGGCCAAGGTCATACTCTGTTCTCTGTCTCAGAAGTTATAATTGGGAGGGGATCAAAGCATGGCCTCTTAGACCAAGGCTCACTCAGGGTGTACTAGAAAATAAAGAGTACATACAGTTCATTTTCACCATGTATGCTACATATGTCAAGTTTATTAATTACCAGGGACACCAAAACGTTTCCCATGTTATTCCTCTTTCCATTTAGACAACAGACTAAATAGAATCTTCAGATTAGAAAAAAAATCTGACACATTAGTATCATCATCCCTATTACAGAAATGAAATACACCCTTGGTAGTAGCTGCATGTCCCTGGATCAGTCAGTCCAACACTTACTGAATTCCTACTGTGTAGAAACTATTATACTGGCCTCCAGGAGGGACAAAAACAAAAGCAGAATAAGTAGTCATCGTCTTAGGGAAGCTCAATCCCTAGGTAGGAAGTCACTCGGGGGTCCAGGGATGACTTGAGGACACTTAGGAAATAAAATGCAAATGAAAAGGTTAAGGTAGGACAGCATCAGGAAGGTGCCCATCTGAGGGACAGCTAATGGCTGGTGGATCAGCAGCTCCTCAAACAGTGCCTGGAACTGTTAGCAAGTGCTCAGTAAATATCTGCTGAGTAGATGTTAAATGAATGACTCAATCAGGGAATCCTTTTCACTGATATTTAAGCAGAACTTTATTTATTTATTAAAAATATTGTTTTACATTTATTTATTTTTGACAGACAGAGCACTAGTGGGGGAGGGGCAGAGAGAGAGAGAGAGAGAGAGAGAGAGAGAGAATGAATACAAAGCAGGCTCTAGGCTCTGAGTTGTCAGCACAGAGCCTGATGCGGGGCTTGAACTCACAAACTGTGAGATCATGACCTGAGCCGAAGTCAGACGCTCAACCGACTGAACCACCCAGGTGCTCCAAACTTTATTTTTTTAGTTTATTTATTTTGAGAGAGAGAGAGAGAGAAAGAGAAAGAGGGAGAGAGAGAGAGAGCAAGAGAGAGCAAGCAGGGGAGGGACAGAGAGAGAGGGAGATAGAGAATCCAAGCAGGCTCGCTCTGTCAGCATGGAAGTCTGAAGTGGGGCTCGATCCCATGAACTGTGAGATCACAGCTGAGCCAAAATCAAGAGTCAGATGCTTAACTGACTGAGCCACCCAGGTGCCCTTGAGCAGAACTTTAAAGACAAGGAGGGATGTGGGCAGGGAGAAGATGTGTTGGTCATACTGGAGTAGGAGGTAGAGCAAAGGCCTATCCAAGCCTCTAGCAGTGGTTCTCAATCAGGACACCCCTTACTCCCAACCCCAGAAGTGTCTGGAATTGAGCAGGGGAGTTTCTTTGTATTATATTCATGAGGGGGATTACTACAGGCATTTAGTGCCTGGGGTCGGGGATGCTAAAACCTTTTAAAGATCAGGAAGTTCACTTATACGGTGAGGAAATGTCCCCTTAAAATGACAAGGGTATCTCTACAGAGAAACACTGTAGCAAAGTAGGAATGAAAGTCAGATTTGAAATAAGTGACACAGGGAACATTAGCCTCTGGGCCTGGCAAAAGGAACTGAAAATAAATGAGTAAGAGGAACTTAGATAATTCCCACAAATGACATAACCACATTGATTTAAGAAAAAAAAAAAAAACTTAAGGTCTGTGAAACTGGGAATTGAAAGTCTTACATTCTGGGAGAGGTTTTGCTATTCATTTATATGGCAACCTTGAGTCTGGCCCTCAACCTATGTCTGTTTCCAAACTGCCCTCTCCTTCTCTGAAGGGAATGATGAGGGAGCCAGTCAGTCACTGTCCAGGCTACTGAGGACAGTCTAAGGGGTTATTGCCTCCCCCTTCTCCCCTGGATTCCAGCAAATTAGGGCCCAAATGTCCTGGCATTCCAGTGTCACATAATCAGTCAAGAGAGAAAAGAAGAATATCTGCACAGCTTGTCTTGGCGAGGACAACTGAGGGAGTAGAAAGAGGCATGGGGAAAGAGGTGAGAAGCCTGAGGAAGACTTGGAGCCTCAGAGGACAGGTATTTCCTTCTCTCATGCTCCTTTCTTGGTGCTCTCCCACAGGGCCAGCCCAGGAGCATGCCCACAAAAAGCACCCAGCAGGTGATGGGCAGCCATCACTGTTCCCACGTTTGTCTCCTAAAGGGTTCCCTTATCACTCATCAAGATGGCTTTCACCTTTGGCAGCTGTACTTGAAAAGAACTTAACTCTCTACTCTTGACTCTGGCTAAATACACAAAAAGAATTTGGAACTCCCCAAAGGAAAGATGGCATGCATTATTAGTACAGTCTCTTAACATCATCTCAGCAGGAGGCACTGGAGACTGACTCTTCCTGGAATAACAAAAATCATAAGGGATGTGACCAAAAGTTCAACAGAAATCTCTAACATGGCATCTGAAGTTTCCTCTAGCCATGGCAGTCAATGTTTAAAAAAGTGTATTGATTCTTTTTTCTCCTGCCTCCAAATACTTCCTACTGACTTTTGTGGTAGGGAAACACAGTGCTTTTTGATGTGAAGCCTATAAGAAAGTTATTTAGAGAGCAAAAGCAAAAGCAACACAAAAACTGAGAAACTCAGCTGTTCAACCATCACTGGAGTGATGCATCCCAGGTGGTTGGCACCTGTTGAGAGCAAGTCCATAGGACTGATGTTGACTGAGATCTCTAACAGAAGCTGAATTGGCGGCTTGGAGCAGGGGTTTCTTTCCTTTACCAGATGGATGTGATGGTGGAGCCAAAAGGTTTAGACATATGTCACAGACATATGAAGGCTTAGACATCAGTCATCCCAAGTCACTAAGCAGTGTCTTTCTGTGACCGTCACTCTCCAATCTGTCCACACAATGCATGTTACCACCCACTTAACACTGCAGTATTTAGCATCATTGATTGCCTGTCCCATTATTTTCAATGCCTGGTTTTGATTATGCTATTTAATTTGCAGTTTATTCTACATCATTAAAAACTTTACAGAGGATGACTCATCATCCATCAAGAAAAGAGATGAGAGTATTTTAAACATTTTAAATAATTCCTTGAGAAAATCATAGCTTTATGGCATTAGATTGAAATTGTATGTCATATACCAAGGCAAAGACCACAAAAAAAATTTTTTTTACTGCCTCCTCTCTTAAAAGTAGTTTGGCTTTTGCATACTGTTTTACTTCACTCTTGGAAAATAATAAAATAAATAAACATTGCAATTAAAGAGCAGAGAAAAAAAATTACTTAGGTGACTCATGATTGAAGCCTGAAAAACTACTCATAGTAAACTAGATGAATTGCCCAATTTCCTTCTTTCAAGAGTTGTACATTACAGCGACCATATATTTCTCTTCCTAAATCATCATCTCCTCTCGTAACTTTCCTCTTATTTTGTTCTCAGCAAAATAGGTTGAGAGGGTTCAGAGAATACTTCATTGATCTTTCCTGAGTTCATTACTCATTCACGAATGACTCTGAAGCATAAGTCTATGAGACAAAACAAGCTTTCCACCAGAAATAATAATTTTCCAGGTTCTCCTCAAAAGATGACATCTTTTCTCTGTCTTTATTACAGCAAGTTCAGTGTTTTGGAACATAATCAGTAGACATTCAGGTTTCAATGTATGCTAAATGAATTACCAGTCAAAATCTGTTATTGAGGGAACTCAAAAGAGGAAATTAAGTGCCCTTCTTATAATTGGGTTGTGCATAGAACAAGTTTATGGATATTGAAGCGGGGAGGAGAATGAAAGGAACAGGCTGAAATTCAGCAGGGTCTCAGGATGATCCAATTTCTTTTTTACTTGATAGAAACAGAACTAACACGTGGACAGCTCTGTAATTTGGTCTGAAGTACCTATGATGTACAGTTACTGGGCTCGGCTTAGGTGA